TTCTGAGGGACTACAGGCCCTAAACTAACCGAATCCCTACTACTACCATAACTGCCTATAGCAGGCCCGGGCTACCCTAGGACAGACAGGCCCTAAGCGGCCTATACTGGTATACGGTCCTATAGCCTATAGCCGGGTCCGGTAGAGGCCGAGAGGCCGAGAAACAGCAACGGTACCGGTAGGTCCAGTCAGTCCAGTTTCGGTCTAGGCTAGTGTAGGAATCTATAAGGCTAGGAAGGAAACTGAGAGGGGGACTTTTGGCTTTTCATTTTTCGCGTGCAGCATTCGTGGCCAACCAAGTTGTGCAGCGCTGAATGCCTACAGCGGCACCTGAGAAAAAGCTGGTGCAGGTAGTCTGACTGCTTTACCTGTTATCGAAACACAAGCTGGAGATGTATCTGCTTATATTCCTACCAATGTAATCTCCATTACGGACGGACAAATCTTTTTGGAAACAGAACTGTTTTATCGTGGAATCCGACCTGCTATTAATGTAGGATTGTCTGTAAGTCGTGTAGCGCAGTGGAGCAGCCATAGCCAGCCTTCTGAGACAGCCATAGCTGGGGCTGTACTCAGCGCATCTATCCCCTGGGGATATCTGCGCTGGCAGGACTATATCGGAGGTCTTCACTGAGTACATGTGGGTACTAGTGCTGCGGTAGCAGCCAGGCAGTCATGGCTGCCTCCTTCATCGTCAGAGTGACTCATCGGCACTGGAGACTACTTCGCCGTTCATGATCTGCATCTGGGTGTATGGCGCTGGCCTCTGGGAGGCTGTTTCCAGCGCTAGACTCTGAGAGTGTAGTAGTGAGTGGAGTGTGTGGTTCTTGAGTGGTGAGACACTGGGTGGAACTCTGTAACGATAATTGAGGTTAACTGAGTTGAGTTGACTCTTCATCTGGGTTACTTTCCGATTGTGATCTTCGCAGTGTCATCCTGTGATTGGTTGTTGGGAGTTTATCAGAGAGAGAGAACACTGTGTGTATTCTCCCCATATGTGCATGGTTGCTATTCCGCTGTTTATCTCTGGTCTGTGTGCAGGTGGACTCTGTCTCTTTGTCTCTTCCTCCTCTTTCTCTCATGCATGTATGGGCGTGTGTGAGTGTGTCTGTGTGTGAGTGGCAATTGAATGGTCAAACAACCAAGTTCATAACACACTACTCTGTAGCAGCTAAATATAGCACTGACTTGGCTTGGCCTGCTTCAGACCGGTACCGGTCGGGCGCGACCTGTCTGCTGCAAACATTTTGGGGGTCCGGTAGCTTCTTGACTTTCCTGGGACATGCTGCAAAATTGGACTCGGGACTGCTGGACTGGACTGGACTTTTCTTGTCAGGTACTGGACGGACTTCTACAGACCTGCGACGTTTCGGTTTTGACTCCTACCAACCTATGCCGCTTCAGCCTATATTCCCTACAGCTTATCGGATCAGGACAGCCTGGGACTGGGACACTTTGGGACCCTGGGACCCTGGGACCGGGACCGGGCTGTCTGCAGCATGAATCCTTTCACTCCCACTGGCCTAATTTTGAGGTCCGCCGAGAAAAATCCCATCTTTACCGGTCGTACATGTTCATTCTCCTTTGCGTCTCTCATAAAAGGAGACAATGTGAGGGGTTCTGTAGTAGTTCCTCCCTGGGGAACCAGTGGTCTTTTCTGGGTTCCTGATGGGCAAATCTAACCTTGTACTGTCTCTGTGGTCTCCCTCTGCGGCCTGTACGGAAGACATCTTCGACCACTATTCTATCTACGTCATAACCTCCGTCCATGTCTGGTGGGATCATGGAACGACGAGAGAGAAACTGATTGTTCGTGACGCAGGGAAGCAACTTAGACGTGTGGAATATCGGGTCGGCGTGCAGGTGGGGTGGAATCTCGACAGTGTAGGACGGGCCATCTGCCTCTCCCTTGACATCTAATACTTCCCATGGTCCCCTATACGCAGGTAACAGTTTCTATGAGATTCCTTCTTCCGGAACGAACTCGTTAGACTTTACCCAAACCAAGTCACCTACCGCGAATTGCGAGGGGCATCAGTGCTTGTTGGCCTGTTCCACCATCTGATGCTGGGTCTTGAGCATGTTGTTCTTCTCCTGCTCCAAGTCTTTCTCATATTGAATGGCAAATTCCCTCGTACCGGGTGGCAATCTTTGAATCTGGTCCGGATTCAGGAAGTCAACCGGACGCTGGGGCTGCCAACCCTTGTGCAGTTCATTCAGGGTGCGTGCAGTAGACATGTGCACCGAATTGTTATACGCAGAGTGCACTTTGGGAAGATGCTCGTCCCAATCGATCTGGTCAGGTCTAATGTACATGCGCAGCACTCGTTGGAGCAGCTTGTTCATTGGCTTTGTTTGGCCGTTGGTCTCCAGGTGTCTACCGGATGACATCATGGTCAACTTTGACGCATACTCCTCCATCAACTGTTACCAGTGCTCGCCCATGAATCTACTATCTCTATCACTAACAACCGTCGGTGGGTGTCTGTAATCTTTCACCCAATGATTGAAGAATTCTCTAATTACTAACTGTCTTTGCCTCAGCGGGCAGCGGAAAAAAACCAACAAATTTACTAAATCCATCTACTACCACCATCACTTGACTCTTCCTGTTTAGGCTTCTGACCTTCATGTCCATAAAGTCGAGAGACATGGAGTCACCGGGACCGGACGGGACAGGAGTGGTCTCAACAGACCAAGGGGGGCTTGTGTGGAACTTTTGTTCCGCTGGCATACTTGGCAGCCCTGGATGTATGCAATCATGCTTCATGTCGACCCAGGTGTAGGACCGGAGGAGATTAGCATAAGTCTTCCTGCAACCGAAATGGCCCTCAGTGTTGTGGCATTCCCCAAGATTAAACTCTTGACAGTCTCGTTGTTCGGTATGCAGAGTCTGTCAAACTTGTCGGTCTTCTCAAATAATAGTCCGTCAGTCACTCTATAGTCCGGGACTTCGTGCAGTGCATCCTGCACTCTCTTAATTAGTTCGCTGTAAACGGGATTGTCAGCGTATACAGCTTGAATCTGCTGTTGCACTTCAGTGCCTGCATCAAGGTAAGTCACAGTGGCACTGAAGAAATCTGTGCGTCTACTCAACGCATCGACGACGTTGTACTTGCCCTTGACTGGCTTCAACTCGAAGTCAAACTGATCTATCTCTCTGGTGCACCTAGTCAACTTAGTGGTCGTTTGACTCATTTGGGCTTGGGTCTTCAGCCAGCGCAGGGTCTCGTGGTCAGAGTAGACTTAAAAGTGTCTTTCTAGGAGGTACTGTCGGCAATGATCTAGCGCTTCCTTCGACACGAACAGCTCACACTCATACGTCGAAGCAGTGATTTTCTCACTAGGTAGCTTGCAAGAAATGAACTCTATAGGTCTGTACGCTTCTCCATCGTTCTGCTGGAGTACAGCGCCAATGCCATATTGGCCCGCATCTGTCGTGACGATGAATGGGAGTGATGGGTCTGCAATCTTTAGGACCGGGTACTCAATTAGTGACTTTTTCAGTTTCTTGAAAGTTGAGGTACAATCTTTGTCACAATTCCAAACTGTTTCCTTCCTCAACAGACTATGCAAAGGTGCAGCGATTGTACTGAAGTTCTGCACGAACTTTCGGTAGTGGTTGGCCAATCCCAAGAAGGACCGCAGTTTCGTCAACGTGTGTGGTCCTAGCCAGTCTCTAACTGTTGCTATTTTAGCATCTACCGGTCGGACTCCATCTCCATCTAGCACATTGCCTAGGTACAGTACTTGGCGCTTGGCCCACTCACACTTCTTCGGGTTCGGCTTGAACTTTGCAATGTGCAACTTGTCTAAAATCAGACGCGGATGCTGCTGGTGTTCCTCTAGCTTCTTACTAATCAAAATATCATCTAAACAGACGACTACAAATCTATCCAGCCGCTCTTGAAAGAGATCATTCATGCATCTTTGAAAGGTGGCAAGGGCATTCATGAGACCAAACGGCATGTCCACGAACTCATAATGACCATAGCGAGTTCTAAAGGTTGTCTTATGCTGGTCTCTGGGTTGTACCTCTATCTTATAGTACCCCAATTTCAAATCGATCTTGGAAAAATATTTGCATCCCTGCACCCTATCCAATAGATCATCTATTTGTGGCAAGGGTTCGGCATTCTTGATCGTGCAGGCGTTCAGTACGCTGCAGTCTATACACATATGCAATTCGCCCTCTTTCTTTCGCACGACTAAGACCGGCGCGCCGTATGGCGACGAGCTAGGCTTAATCCACCCCTACTGTTCGAGTTCATCAAGCTGCTTGCCTTCGGAGACATTTGGGAGATGGGCCCTTTGGGAATCTTACTACCAGGTTTTATCTTGATCTGGTGCTTTATTTCCCTCTCAACTACGCCCGTGGGGGCTTCTCCCACATCCGCGAATTTTCACCACAACTTCTCTACTTCAGGTGGTATATTTTCCTCCTCCCTTTTGCTCTCGCTAACCAGTCTCATATAGGCTACAGATACTTGGTCAACTAAATCGCTCTTGACCACGTCTGGCGAGCGAGGGGGCGCTCAACAAAGGGACAAACTGGACTCTACATCGGACTCATGGAACCAGTGCATCTTCTTCTTGCAACCTCCGGGGCTGCGTAGCCAGTCCTCATGCTCGCCCATCTTCATGTCGCCCCTCGCGGCCTCTCTCCAATCTGTTAAGTCAAAGAGAAGGCTATCCTCCACTAATAGGGTCAGAGCGTGCAACACTTTCTCTCCTTAGCTCCCCCCTCTAACCGGAAGTATGCCTTTACGCCCTTGACGTAGTCATAATCATTTTCCGATTATCGGTCAGTCTGCTCACAACCGGCTCATCCAACTTTTTCGCCTTCATGCCGAGATGCATCTTCTGCAGTCCTCTTTGGCTAATGTAGCTACGCATCGACCCACTATCGACTAAAAAGCCTACTCTCTTTCTACTAATTTTCACATCTCTTATAGTTAAGATTGAGAAAAAAAAAAAAAAAAAGGATTGAGAAATGGTCACCAGACACAATTCCAACGGTCATGAAAAAAGAAATCATGAAAAAATAAAAATTTGGCCAAAAAAAACTGATTTCAACAATGAAAACAGTTTACCCCGTTAACCACTAGTGTAGCTATCCTTTTGATTTCTTCTTTATTTCGGCCCAAGTTTGGTGACAAGTGATCAGCTCATCACCGATGCCTGCGAGGGAACCACCTAGAGAGACCCTAGTGCAAGCGCCCTCTGGACAACTACCTAGGTGGGGGCCTAGATTAGCCTCTCCCATTTGGCTCTTCAGACAGGAGGGTGTCTGTGCAACGCGCGCTTCTATCTGTCTGTCTGAGTCTGAAGGAGTTGTAGGGGCAGCTGCAACCCCTACTGGTTGTTCACTTTTGGGTATCTGTACTCAGCAAAGGAACAATGTGGTTGGGGTCACCACACTTCAAGCACTGGACGACCTCAAGCCATTCCTTCCGTAACTTGTAGTCCATATTCATCTTCTTCCAAGGCTCGCCTGGAGCGAGCCCTGGGTGTGCTGGATACGGCTTTTGACCTATACCTCTTCCCCCATTAAAGGGAGGACCGCGTTCGCCTTGCGGGGAACCATTACCCCTACCTCCAACATAATAGCTTCCTTCGTTACTACTCTCCTGGGCGCTGGGTCCTCTACCTCCACCTGTACCTCCACCTCTACCTTGGCCTCCTCTTTCTCCTTGCTGCCCTCCCCCACGGGCTGCAGCGGTTGCATAGTCCCCTCCTTGGGATACTCAACCGTTGTTTTGCTCTTCCAGCCTGTAGTCTATATTCTCGTACGTAGTGCTTCGAACCCCTCTTCCTTAACAATGATAAGAAGGTTGTTTTTCCCCTTTATGTTTTCGAATATCGTCTTGTTCTT